TGGGGTGGCTGGAGGGAAGGAACGTGTGTGTGTGTGTGTGTGTGTGTGTGTGTGTGTGTGAACGTGGGGTGCAGGAGGGGGGTGGACCGGGTGTGTATTTGCGTAGGAGAATTTGGGGTGTAGCAGGGAAGGGGATATTGGTGGGGTGTGTATGTGAGAGGATCCCTGCAATACTGAGCCCCTGCCCCACTCCCTGCAGCACAGCACCACATAGCAATGCACCGGGGCATTGGGTTCAGCACTGGCAGCTAGTGGACAGCTCCCTCTACAGAGCCCCCTGCCCCACTTCCCTGCAGAACAGCGCCCCCTAGCATCATATTGGAGTATTGCAGGCAGTGCTGATTCAGAGAGGAGAGCACCCCCTGACTGAGTCACCACCCTAGTTCCTGCAACACAGCACCCCCTAATGCCACCTTGGGTTCAAAACAGATTTGGAGGGGAGAGCAACCCCTGCTGACCCCCCTCATCCCATTGCATAAAACAAAGCACCCCCTAGTACCATTCTGGAGCATGGGGGTCAGCACTGACTGGGAGGGGAGTGTGCCCCCTACTGAGCCAATACCCCACTCCCTGCAGTCCCGCACTGGGCCATTCTTTTAAGATCCATGGTCTCCTTTAACAGCTAAGTCAATGCTCTGTCGCCTTCATTTTTGCCCCAAACAACATTTCTAATGATGACCATTGGGCTTTGCCGATGGGGGACCTCATTACTTGCTTGAAAATATAGCAAATGTCAACAGTTTAATATGAATGGCACTGGAGGGAGAGAAATACACGAGGGGGAAGAGGTGAGAGCACAGAGACTAGTGCAGGAGGGACACCAGGTTAAAAGAAGCTGCAGAGAGAAAGGACACACCAGAGCTGAAGGCAAAATTTAACAGAGTGGAGCAACGATGCATAGAAACGGAGATCAGCACTGGGACATACCCAGCTCAGTCTCCCACCGTGAGAGGCAAGTTCACGGACTCTGCAGCCGGCAACTCCGGGACAATCTCCCATAAGGGACGTTTACCCCGAGTCCCTGCCTGTTTGGGACTGGCATCACATTGGAGCCAAAGCCACCTCCTGTGTGAAATGTTTGATTGGTGGGATTTAAGGGAGATCTCAGAGCACTGAAGAGAGCAAATAGGACCTGCTTGAAGACCAAGTCATGCATCCCAGCCACAACACACTCCAGGTAACTGTATCCAGACGGGCAGCTGCAGGACTGGTCTGTTACCTGTTTCAGTCTCTCTGCTGCTCTTCCTCACTACAGGGCCAGGTCCCTCACTAGTGAAAATTCCCATTTCCCATGGAAAGTGAGTCCTTCATGCCACGGAACAGCCACTCGCTCCTTGATGGTGGCCTGAACTGGCAACATCAGGGGAAGGTGCAAAAACCTCTGCAGGGGGCAGTTCCAGTATTGACTTTCCAGAGAAGTTTTTTTCCTATCCCAGGTCACTTAGAAGTTGAGTTTTTCCCCAGAGTGGGAAGTTTTATCCCCTTCTGATCTGTGGAGCACCCCGGTTGAAATCCACACCTGCGCAGTGGGACCAGCATGAGGACTAGACACCAAAGTCCTCAGGTCGGGGTTTTAGAAGGACTTCCTCTTGTCAAGCGTGTGCTGCAGGGGGTTAGAAGATGGGGAGGGGACACTAGGATCAGGACTCTTGGGTTGTAGGGTTGTATCCCCAGCCCTGGGAAGTTAATGGGGTCTAGTGGGTAAGATTGGGGGTGGGGTGGGGCTTCTGGATTATTTTCACAGCTCTGGATGGTGAGTGAGAGGTAAGGGGTGGGTAGGGGATGTGAGTCAGGTCTCCTGGGTTGTATTTCCAGCTCTGGAAGGTAAGTGGGTTCCTTACCTTCCAGGAAGCAAGGGGGGTTGGTTGCCAGGACTCCAGAGTTAAGGTCCCAGCTCTTGGAGATGAGCAGGGTCTAGTGGGGTAGAGCAGAGAGGGAGAGACTGGGAGTCAGGGCTTCTGGGCTCGATTCTTCTCGTGGCACAGGAATGAATCTTGTCCCAAATGCCCCTGCAAAGATAATCCATTGCTTCTCTGCTCATTAATCATTAACACCTGGGTTCACCTTCAGGGACACAGACCGAGGAAATGGAGTGTGGGAACCGATCCCAGCTGACCCATTTCATCCTGGTGGGGCTCCCATATCCCCCAGAGCTGCGCATTCCCTTGTTCCTCTTCTTCCTCATCATCTACCTGTTGACGCTGTGTGGGAACCTGCTCATATTGCTGGTGGTGGCCCAGGAGCGCCGGCTGCACAAGCCAATGTACTGGTTCCTCTGCCACTTGTCCTTCCTGGACATGACAGTCTCTTCAGTAGTGGTGCCCAAGGTGGTGGCTGGCTTCCTGTCGGGCGGCAGGGCCATCTCCTTCCAGGGCTGCGTGGCCCAGCTCTTCTTCTTCCACTTCCTTGGCTGCACCGAGTGCTTCCTCTACACGGTTATGGCCTATGACCGCTTCCTGGCCATCTGCAAGCCATTGCACTACAGCATCATTATGAACCACAGAGCCTGCCTGTGCCTGGCAGTAGTGACCTGGTTAGGGGGCTCCCTGCACTCCACCATACAGACCGCGCTGACCTTCCAGCTGCCCTATGGCAAAGAGAACAGGGTGAGATATATCTTCTGTGATATCCCGGCTGTTCTGAAGCTGGCCTGCGGGGACACGGCACTCAACGAGCTGGTGACATTTGTGGACATCGGCTTCCTGGCCTTCACCTGCTTTCTTCTGATCTTGTTGTCCTATGTCTACATTGTCTCAGCCATCCTGAGGATCCACTCGGCCGAGGGCAGGCGCCGGGCCTTCTCCACCTGCATGGCTCATGTCACCGTGGTGGTGACCTACTATGTGCCCGGGTTCTTCATCTACCTGAGGCCAGGATCCTGGCACCCACTGGATGGTGTGGTGGCTGTATTCTACACCATGGTGACCCCGCTCCTCAACCCCCTCATCTACACGCTGAGGAACAAGGAGATGAAGGATGCCCTGATGAGACTGGGAGGCAGGAAACTGCCGGGCCCTGAGCTATGATTATCCTGCTTCCAGCAGGAGCTGCCTGAGAACTGGCCAGGGAGAGAGGGACTTGGAGACAGAAGTCAGGATGTCTCTGTTTTGTGGGGGAGCTGGGGTCAGTGGCTTGGAGTAGGAACAGCTGAAAGTTCAGATTTTAGATTTATGCCCCTGACTCTGGGAAAGGAGCAGGTTACTGTGCTTGGAGCAGGAGGGCTGGGAGTCAGGAATCTTGGGATCTGTCCCCCGCTCAGGGATGGGAATGGGGCCTTATGATTAAAGCCTTGATTCTTTCGTTCTCTTCCTACCTCTGCAAACATTTGTTCCAATTGTGGAATGGTTAGAGAAGAAGGGACTGGAGGGGAGGATCCCTGGGTTGTAGTTTGGGTTGCCAACTGTCTAATCACAGAAACTCAAACATCCTTGCCCTGTCCCCTGCCCCTTCCCCGAGGCCATGCCCCATCCTCGCTCCTTGTCCGAGGCCCTGCTCCCGCTCACTCCATCCCACCTCCCTCCATCGCTCATTGTCCCTAACCCTCACCCACCTTTATCAGTCTGGGGCAGGGGGTTGGGGTGGGATCTGGGCTGGGAGATGGGATTGAAGGATTAGATGTGTGGGAGAGGGCTCTGGGCTGGGGCAGGGGGCTGGGGTATGGGCTCTGGGCTGGGGGTGGGGTCAAAGGGTTAGGTGTGTGGGAGGGGGCGCTGGGCTGGGGCAGGGGGTTGGGGTGTGGACTCTGGGCTGGGGGGTGGGGTCGAGGGTTAGGTGTGTGGGAGGGGCTCTGGGCTGGGGCAGGGGGTTGGGGTGCAGGGGAGGTGAGGGCTCTGGCTGGGGTTGCAGATTCTGGGGTGAGGACAGGGATGAGGGGTTAGGGGTGCAGGAGGGGGCTCAGGGCTGGGGCAGGGGATTGGAGCACAGGAGGGATTGAGGGGTGCGGGCTCCAAGCAGTGCTTACCTTGGGCAGCTCCCGGTCAGCGGCACAGAGGACTTAAGGCAGGCTCCCTGACGGTCCTGGCTTGGTATGACTCCCAAAAGCAAAAAGCACATCCCTGTGACTGCTCGGCAGGGGGGTCAGGAGAGCTCTGCACACTGCCCATGCCTGCAGGAGCTGCCCCTGCAGCTCCCATTGCCTGCAGTTCCCTGTTTCCAGCCAATGAGAGCTGAAGAGTTGGCGCTTGGAGCAGGATGTGGGGGCAGCGTGCAGAGACCCCCCTGGTCCTGGCCACCCCTACACCTAGGAGCCAGACATGCTGCCACTTCCAGGAGCCACACAGGGCCAGGGCAGGCAGGGAGTCTGCCTTAGCTGCTATACACCGCAGGACTTTTAGTGGCCTAAAATCTCCCAGATTGGCTTTAGTCGCCTCGGGGAGATAGAGCCCAATTCCGGGAGACTCCCGGCCAAACCGGGAGGGTTGGCAACCCTCGTTGTACTTGATGCTGTGAGAAGGTAGTGGGGCTTAGCAGGTTAGATTGGGGGCGGGGAGGGGCTGGGAATCCTTCTGTAATCTATCCCTACAGCTGGAAGGGGAGTGGGGTCTAAGGGTAAGAGTAGGACGGGGAGGGGACTGGAGGGTCTAGACGCCTAACAGTACGACAGGCGGTCTGAATCCCCAAAATAGGCAATTGAAACAACTGGTTGCATACAATGTCATTGTGCAAAAACGTATACCAGGTAAGGTCTTGTATGAAAGCTTATATGAAAGTCTGAACTCGATGGCCAAGCTGAGGTATGAATACAGACTGTGGTTATAAAACTCTGTCTTATGCTCATGACTGGTACTACAAATCCCAACTCCTCACAGCGAGGAGCGGGAGGTCCTCCCAAACCTGTTGTGTACACAACACAACACAACAAGCCAGAAAAAGACAATGGGGTCTTTCAAGGCTGATTCTCGACTCTGGCACTTTGAGTGCAGAAGTGGGGGCCCTCAAGGACTCCGAAAATTAATACTGGCCACTCCAGGCTCATAATGCTGCCACCACCCAAGTGAAAAACTGCCTTTTGCCAATTGTAGCAGGGCGGTCACCCCCACTCTGGCCCTGAAAGGGTTAAAGGCCAGCCCTTGGAGAGGGCTGGGGCTGAGAGCCAAGAAGAAAAGGCTGGGAGGCAGCCAATCAGGGCCAGGCTGGGCCATATAAAAGAGCTGCAGGGCCAGAAGGCAGGGAGCTGCCTGGGAACAGAGGGTATGTGATGCAGAGCAGTGCTGGGGAAAGGCAAAAGGAGCTGGGGAGCTCCAGCCTGGCAACTCCCCAGGCTGAGGCCTTGTTAAAGGCCTAAGGAGGCATTGGTGTCCCAGAGGTGCAGTTCGGGGATAGGCAGAGGCAGCTGGTCCAACCCCTTTGTCAGTGATGAATGGCCATTACAGATGGCAGTCTGCCCCTTGAGGCTAGATGATGACTGGCAGTAGCCACTGAGGCAAGGTTGGTGTAGAGGGTTGGGGGTTCCCCTGGGAGGGGAGACACAGTGTGTGGAGGTTCTGCTGGGGGAAGAACCCTGAGGTATTGGGCACTGGGGTCCGGGAGGCCCTGAGGCAGGAGAGACACCGGCCAGCAGGGGCACTATGTGCTGGAATTGAGCTAATTCCTGAGGAAACCAGCAGGAGGCACTGAGCTGGTGAGTGTCGATCTGCTACACCAATCCAGAAAAAAAACTCAATTGGAAAGATTTTTTTTTCTGAGGCCCCTCGGCTTTTCCAACCCTCCCTCGGGGCAGCCAAGAAAGAAAACAAAAGAAAGGGGAGGCTCAGCTGTTGTATTAGCTGATTAACCTATGCACAGCCTCTTGACCTCCTAAGACACAGAAATCTAATCAAGTTCTTAAAAAAGGTAAATTTTAATGAAAAAAGAAAGAGAACATCTAAAAACTAAGGCTGTGAGGGATTGAACACCAAAAATGACTTTCTTGGGGTCCAGTTTACAAGCAAATCAAAAGCACCTGGGGTTAGCACAGAGGAATCCACAAGCCCAAAATGAAGAATTCAATCTAATCACGTCTAACTAGACATTCCTGATCTACTTACCTATCTGTGGTTTCCAAGGAGTAGTTTCTAGGTATGATGCTGATGATTTTTATACCTGGCCCAAACCTTATAGCATGTTGCTGCCTTGTCTACACCCAGCATCTTTTTCCAATTTGAAAGGATACAGCTTCCCTATTGGTTCCCCTGGTCAGGTGCCATCTCATGTTTAGCGTCTCTTAACCCTTTACAGGTAAGGCAATTAGAGAACAGCTACTAAAAAGGACTTTATAGCTAACTGAATGGTGGGGAGTTTCACAAGGGTGCTACTCCCCCTCATTTATCACAGGGGACCATTAGAGTTAATGGGGAAACACTGAAACAATGTGAAACCGAATCTCTCTCTCTCTCTCTCTCTCTCTCTCTCTCTCTCTACACACACACACACACACACACACTACACTACTACTACTACTACTAC